TTAGATGAAGCGGCGCCCCAAATCCATACTCCTCGAAGCACAGGCAGAAGTGGGGGGGGGTTGCATCAACCGCTAAATCTAACTTATCTAACCCTCGACCGAAAGAAAGTTATAATTCCTTCAAAAATCTGATAATCAGCCTCATACTTCCAAGCTTGAAATCACAAGAATATCAAAATTTATCCAAAAATAAAATAAAAAAATACAGATTCTTAAACACTGCCTTCAAATTGTGCAACTTCACATTCAGAATCAGAACCAATACGTTTCAACAGAACTGCTTGGCTGTGGACCGGGACTTGGAACAAGAGTCTTACACCCCCTTTACAGTCTCTCTTGACTTGTGTRTGCAAGCCATTAGGAGCACGTGGTTGCAGTGAAGGAAGGTGAGCATATCTACATGCTCAGGGCTGATGTTTGCCCTCTTCTTTGAAGCAATGTTACCTGCTGCTGAAAACAAACGCTGGTGGGTCCTGAGCACTTCTCCACTTCTCTCTGCCCACCCATACTCATTTATTTATTTTAATACATGTCAATGACTATTTCACTTTGTACTCCCATAGTCCCACTGTCTCTTTATCTCTCTGATTTCAGATATCTCTGACCCCGGAACCTCAGGACAACAACTTTTACCATTATTACTATTATTTATTACAATATTTCAGTAATTAATTATAATCTGAATTGTGCCTGTTATCAATAATAATTAATCTTCTTTACAATGTTACTGTTCACATTTTAACTAGTCAGATCTGATACCTGATGGTGCTCAAGTGTTCCCGGTCTCTCTCGCCTCTCTCTCTCCCCCTCCTCCCCATCCCAACTATCACTCTCTCTTCCTTCACCTCTTTTCCACCCATCTCTCCTCTCCTTTTGTTTATCTTTGCTCACCCCAACCAGTCAAGGCAGATGACCGCCTACATTGAGCCTGGTTCTAGAGGCTTCTCCCTGTTAATGAAGGAGTTTTTCCACTTCACAGTTGCCAAAGTGCTGCTCATTGTGGAAACTGTTGGGTTTCTCTATATTAATAAGATTTTAAGGTCTTGACCTTCTATTTATAGTGCCTTGAGATAATGTATATTATGATTTGTTGCTATACAAATAAAATTGAATTGAATTGAATTGAACATGGCTGCAAGCAACAGCAGAAGACGGTCCAGGGAAAAGTCCCATACTGGATAACCTCCCTCTATTGGACCATCAGATCCAAATGGTGAGGAATGAAGTTCAGATGTACTTTGCAGAGCCAGCAATATCCAAAAGAAAGACCCTCTCAGATGGTGGCGGGGAAATGAGGGGAGTTTACCCAAACTTTCAAAGCTGGCAAGATTTTTTTTGTGCATTCCTGCAACATCCACCCCCTCAGAGCGAATCCTCTCTGTAGTGGGGAATATCTGCTCTCAGAAGAGAGCAAGACTCACACGAGACCATGTGGATATGCTAACATTCCTCAGTTTGAATAAACTGCTACATTTGAGAAGTAACCTTTTATTTTATTTTTGTTAAGGGAAAGCTTAGTTTTGTTTGTTTTTATTGCTGCTACTTTCCCTGTCCTTTGTTTACAGAAAAAGACATATTTCATTTTTTGTATCAGCACTTGTCCTTGGTTTTAAATGGACAAAAACTTGATAATTTTTTATTTCTGTATCAATAGTAGTGTAATAAGTAGCAAAATCTATTAAATGACATTTTTGAATTAGGAATTGATCTTTATTATAAGTCATCACATGCCGAAAACAACCTCAAGCTAAATTTAAAAGCTGATGGCTAAATAAGAGCCATTGAGTATTTGTGTGATTCATAATCTGATTAGTGGATCAAAATAGTCATTAGTTGCAGCCCTCATGTGTGATATGATGATGATAACACTGTATAATAATTAACTTTCTATAAAAAGCCAATTTTCATAATTTAAAAATTATGATTGTGTTAAATTTTATGGATGGAGGATATAGCAGATGTCACTGAATTTACAGTTTTATAAATCAGAATATTTTCACGATGATTATGAATACTACGCACTAAACACACATTTTATAAATGAGGCCCATGATGGCAGCACATAGAGGCTAAAGGAGACAGTCTACCGAAAACCCTGACTGACCCAAACATCCAACTGAAATCTTCCAAATCCAATAAAAATCAGCTGAGGAAGAACACAGCAGAGAGGTCGGGAAGCCATTTCAAAGAGTAATTCTGCCCTGATAAGGTGGCCAAGGAATGGGGCACGATTGTCCCGTTCATCCCACATGGGATGGAGCAGCTTTTGTATTTAGGAATATAACTCAGTTTATAAACCCAAAATGACAACCCAGAGTTGGGACCAGGACGCAGAGCTTCAGTCCCATACACTTCTCTCTGTATAGGATTGTTCGGTATACCGGTACTAAATTGGTACCAGGGTACTTTCCGGTAAATTTTCTGAAACTTTCCATGGGAAGTTAGGGTGGGGAATTTTGGAAATATTCCAAATTAGAAATTTTCCATGAGAATTATGGGAATCTTTGGGAATTTATGAGAATTTTTGGGAATTTATAGGAATTATTGGGATTTTATGGGAACTAACTATAAATTGGGGGTAATTTAAATAAACTG